TTGTCATTTGTTCTCTCCTATGTTCTCAAATTTCTTTAGGAATTTACGCACCTTAATCCCTTTCAGTGAGTTTATGTCACATTTTGATTTGACCTCTGATGACCCTGAGAGGTCAAATAAAAAATGGCCGCCAGTCCGCCGCATGGTCTAATAATTGTACAAACACGCTTAACTCATGAACCAAATAGTCCAGAAAAGCGTTTAAGGTGTCATTTTCAACTAACCTGAGGATGCCAATTCATTTTGGTAATAATTTTGAGATCGCCAGAACTCGGGGCTTTGCATTTAGGTCAAGGTCAAGGTCAAAATTGATTAAAACATAGCAAGTTTTGAATAGTTACAAAATGTTTTCCCATTTTTTTGTCCCCTTATGTTCTCAAATTTCTTTAGGAGTGGTTCCCCTGCATAGTCACCCACCTTAATCCCTTTCAGTTAGTTTATTTCAAATTTCGATTTGACCTCTGATGACCCTAAGAGGTCTAATATGAAATGGCGCCAGTCCGCAGCATGGTCTAATAATTGTACAAACGCGCTTAACTCTTGAACCAAATAGTCCAGCAAAACGTTAAAGGTGTTATTTCCCACTAACTTTGGGATGCCAATTCAATTGGTAATACTTTTTAGTACACCAGAACTCAGGGCTTTTTCATTAAGTCAAGGTAAAAGTTTTGAATGTTTACAAAAAGTTTTCCCATTTTTTTGTCCCCTTATGTTCTCAAATTTCTTTAGGAGTGGTTCCCCTGCATAGTCTCCATCGTAATCAGTTAGTTTATTTCACTAATTATAGCACCAAACCATTATTTGTCTTGTAACTGACCATTTGCATATAGCATGGTCAGTGGGCAGCTACTGCAGCGCTCAAAATACACGGGGGCGGTGGGCGATTCGCCCCCGTGAGCTACATAATCGCCCCCGTCAGGTTGCTCACGGGGGCGATTGCAAAATTAAAAATCGCCCCGGTGGAATTATAAAATAAAGATTATCTTTTCTGTTATAACTTTAACACAATATTGAGTTTCAATTTTCAAACCTTAAACAATTGAAATGGAACTAAGATTAGCGTGCAAGATTTCTCGTTTTATGAGTAGGCCTATTATTACCGATTCAGCTCGCAGTGCAGTGCCGCCGTCAGCAGTGGTTATAGGCCTACTGCGCCTTTAGTAGCGGTGCGTGTGCACGCTGCCGCGCCATGTCTGCTGGAGCTGGAGGCGATCGCGCAAGGGCAGAAACATGGTCATGGCCTGGAGAAGTTTTTCGTTGTCAGCAAATAATGAACCTCGACCAGTAAATCAATAGGGACTTTTAGATTTGCACGATGAGAACGTGGACTGCAACGTGTGACCTCCTTTTAAGGCACGGTCAGTGCTTAAAAGGACGTCACATAATGTGACTGCCAGTGCCTTAAAAGGACGTAACACGTCCACGTCCACGCAAATCTAAAAGTCCCTTTTGAGGAGAAGAGGAAGACCAAAATGTCGTGGAATGATACGGTAACATGGGCAGATCTACGGGGGGGGGGGGGGGTTAGGGGGTTTAACCCCCTCCTCCCACCCCCGGCCCCCTTGTGCTGCCAAGTGAAAATGTGATATTAAAGCGGGGGGGGGAGGGGGATGCTGGAGAGGAGGACTACTAATCTATTTAATTTTTTTCAGGGGGCGGGGGGAAGTGAAGCGCCGTTTTAGCATGACTTTCTTTTTAACTCTTACTTTCACCTATCTCAGATAATCCTAAGTTTTTGGTTGCTGCTTTATATGTAGTTGATAATGGATGATTAAAATAAAGAGAGAGAGAGAGAGAACCACCATCATTTTGCAATGGTTCAGGGTTCGTGTAATGTACATTTGAAACCATTTCTTAGCGTCTCAACCCTAAAAAAATAGCAAAACTATTTTTGAGGAAAAGCATTATACTGAATTAAATAAAGAATAATAGCTTTATATTGGATCATACTAATACTGATACGGGCTAAAGACAATGTGGTATTTGTATAGAGGTATTCCAAAATGACATTCTGATAATCAACATTTGTTCTGGTATCATAATGTATATACGCATAATACAACTGATCTTTATGATTTCTTAACGTGACATAGCTTCTTCTCCCTCTGCAAACAAAACAGAAAACAAGGTTATTTAATAAAAGGACCATGCGACAAATAATCATTGTGATTCAAATTGATGCAAGGATTTTTTTGAATAAGCAATGCTTTTCACCAGAATCTTCTTTGTAAAAACGACTTTTACAAATCTCAGCCATGCAATTCTGCCACTGTGCTGTAAGATCACTTTGAGATTAGGAGAAGTGTATTATGTAATGGGTATTTCAAATTGAATGGAACGTCTCAACTCAGTGAGCATGGCTGAGATTTGTAAAAGTTGTTTTTACAAAGAAGATTCGGGTGAATAGCAGTGCTTATTCAAACAAATATTCGCATCAATTTGAATCACAATCATTATTTGTCGCTTAATCCCTTTTAATGACCTTGTTTTCTTTTTCGTTTGCAAGGGGAGAAGAAGATTATGTCACGTTAAAGACATCATAAAGATCAGTGTTGTATGCGTATATATTATATACACAGGCCAGTAACAGCTATGTAGCTTGTAAATTTGTAAGAGGGAAAATGCTGATTGAAATGATAATGAAGAAATAGCAAATAATTGAGGAGTATCATAGGTACCAATTCAATGGATATTTGTATAAAAAAAGAGCCCCCGTCAGTAATAAAAGAGCCCCCGTGAGCCTTCTCACGAGGGCTCTTTGTTCTGGCGATCTTTTAGTATTACGTAATGAATTGGCATCCCCAAGTTAGTTGGAAATGACACCTTAAACGTTTTTCTAGATTATTTGGTTCAAGTTCACGTTTATACATTAGACCATGCGGACTGGCTGCCATTTTGGATTTGACCTCTCAGGGTCATCAGAGGTCACATCAAACTGTGAAATAAACTAACTGAAAAGGATTAAGGTGGAGGACTCGGCAGGTGAACCCCCGGCCCCCCCCCCCCCCCCACTCAGAGGTCGGAATGACCGCATGCGTGTTGCCAAAATGTCCGGTAAAGGGGTACTTTTCGTGCGACAAAGTCCGGCCCGAGAATTGTAAAAAAAGGGGTGTATTTGACTTTTCACCCGGAGATTTCTTTAAAAAGGGGGTGTTTTTCTTTTTTTCTCTCTTCTCTTTGGACTCCTAAGAAATTATTCTGAATTTAGGGGGGTACATTGAGCATTTTTCCTGATTTAGGGGGGTCTCAAAGGCAGGAAAAGCCCGCGAAAAGCCCGCGAAAGGGGGGTTCGGAAATGTTGGCAGTCCTCAGATAGGGGGTGCTTTCAAAAAGAGGGTACGAGCATATGCGTACCCTAAATAACACTGAGTGGGGGGGGGGGGGGCCGGGGGTGAACCATTCCTAAATAAATTTGAGAACAAATGACAAATAAATGAGATTTAACCTTTTGTAACTATTCAAAACTTGCTATTTTTAGTCAATTTTGACCTTGACCTTGACCTAAATGCAAAATTCTGAGTTCAGGTGATCTCAAAAGTATTACCAAATGAATTGGCATCCCCAAGTTAGTTGGAAATGACACCTTAAACGTTTTTCTGGTGTATTTGGTTCAATATTTAATTCTAAGCTTCTTTTCCAAATCAGCAGAAAATCACACGCGAAATCTCAAAAGTTTGGTTTGGTGCACGTTGGGTTTTATTTTTTATCCCCATCCAAGGGTTAAAACAAAAATCACTAAAGGTTTGATTTTTGGTGACCGAGATATCCATCTGACAACATTGGACTATATAATACTGCTTTCAAACTGGCTTCTATCGGAGTCTCACCGATGAAAATACCGATTGAATTTTCCTTATGTAAACAAACGTGAAACCGCCGTTTTCTCCTTGTCGCTTTCTAACTGCCGGTGAAATTCACTCGCTGTGGCGAGCCCTTGCCGGAAGTGAAGAATTATTGCGTAATTATTAAGCTCGCGCTCCATATAGCTAGCATGCAGTATGTTCAACCATAAGTCAACAAACACACCTGGTTACGATAAAGCGCGCGTATACTGCGACCTTTGACCATTTTAATCGCTGTTTTAATCGCCTTTTTCTCCCGAACGCTTTCTAACTGGCCGTTTCATCGGTGTCACACCGATAGAATGCGAATCTAATCGCCTATTTCTCTTCTTTTCATCGGCTATTTAATCGCCTTTTTCTCCTCTGTTGCTTTCTAACTGGCCGTTTCATCGGATGCGTCCAGATGCATCCGATGAAAATCAGTGCAGTTAGAAAAGGGTATTAGGCATCGTTGTGCACTCTCCGATTTGGTGTTTAAAGATAAAGGTGAGTTCTGGTCATCCGATTGCATTGTGGAAGAAAAGGTGTGGAATGCATCAAAAAAAGTTGATCTTGTAGAATGCAAGTATTGGTGTGTACTGCAAAGTTCTGGAGTCATCAAAATCATAATAAATGTTGCCCAGTCTTGGTAAAGTAACAAACACTGTACACAGAAATGGTAATAATAAATGGTGTGAGGGCTACCAACATTGATTTCCTAATCTTTCTATGCTCATTACTCAGCCAGTATACATTTTCTACCAAAATTGTTCGGTAAATGACATTTATTTCTTATCTTGAACATTCAGTGTAAGTTTCGTTTGATTCTGTGAGAATTCATTTCCTTCTTTTTTTATATCAGAACTCACCTTTATCTTTAACGCATTGTTTAAATCGTTCAATTGGGTAAGACAAAGTGAAATCTTGAAAACAAAATGATAGTGATGGTGTGATAGTGGTGGTTATTTAACCTGGCAGCTAAGAAAGCAATAAATGCTTGTTAGTAAGCAACCAGAAGACCGACGGCTCACGGGTCCTCTCTGAGGGACCTGGTAATGAGGATTAATGCCTTACCAAAGGGCACTAGCGCATCGACTTGGTTTCGAACCTGGGTCACCGGATAACGAGACCAATGCTCTACCGACTGAGCTATCGCGCAAAGAATGATGATAAACTTCATTCATTAATTCATTCATTCATTTATTTCACATCAATTGTATACGCATGAGCTCGAGCCCATGATTTTATAATACTTTAAAAACAATCTTTTAAATTGAAACTCGTCTCCTCTTCACTATCTTAAAGTTGTGTATTCACTCCGTTGAGGCACTCGGGTTCTGAAGAAAACTTGTTCATGTTCGTATCATGGAATGTCCAATATTCCCAGCCCTTCGTTTCCGTGTTGTTAGTCACTCCAAGACTCGAGTAAAAATGTCGAGCTCGTTGGTTGTTCATCTTGACGTCGAAATCAAGAGAGCCAACACCCAGATCAAGGCAGGTCTGTGGGCAAAGAACAGACAAAAGGATAGGTTTTTCAACTTCATTATAGCAGGATAGCATAGAAAGTTGTATGCTTCCCTGTTTAGGGGGGGGGGGGTATTTTTTTTTTTTAAACCTTATTATTATCATTATTATTATTATCTGGATACCTATTATCACCTAACTTTGGTGGCACTAAGTCCTCCCTCTCCACCCACAGCCCAACCCAGCGAGCAGGGCGGCTTATGCGGGGTGAAAAGTGGTGATGAATTCACAACTTCTAACACTGAGTTATCCAACAAATGCGCAAACATATAACACAATTTCATGTAGGTCTTTTAGGAGATAAACCTTTGAACTACCTTCCTAGCCATGTACAAATTTGGACATTTTCGGAAAACATCAATTATTAGATGAGAAAATCATGATGATGAGAACCTACCATTCGCTATATAACTCACGATTTCCTTGGTCGATTTTGCTTGTTCAAATGGTTATGTCTTCAGTAGAGTTATGCGAGCACGAACAAAGCATTTGATAACCAATAAAAAGTTGTCTTGGTCATATGCTGTGGATTCTGTATTTTTAAAAATATGTTTTAGCTATCCATCTTCACTGAACATGACGTCATTTTTGATGTGCCACGGATGACTTATAAGCTTTTTTTTTAACGACCGAGTGAATAGAGAACTTATGGAAGCAAACGGCGTTGCGTAATATTTCGTAATTTTTGTAATGCCAGATGGGATCATTTGTTTTGAAAAGGGCAGCTGTTGATGGATTCAGGCGCGGTTCAACGTGGGGGAGGGGCGGGGGGGGGGGCGACGGGCCCGACCCCCCTTGGTTAAAATCAAGCTTTAAAAAATACGGGCCCCCACCCCTCGCCATAACAAAGTTGTTTTTTTTAAAGATGGGGTGGTGTTGAGTTTTTTCCTCTGTAATTTATAGCACTACCTCCACCCCCACATACACACACACACACACACAAACTGAGCGAAAATAGCGGTCTGAGCGATATTCAAATTTCCGGTGGCAAAATCTTCACATTCCCGGGGCAAAAAAACAAACAAAAGTGCTCACTTGATATGATATAGCTTCATGGTTGTATAAAACTGAACATGTGTTCATAATTGTTGTTTTTATATAATTATTGATTACTCTTCATTATGATTATTCTTGCTTATTGCGATACATTTTTAAAGCAGTGTGATACAATGCCTATTCATATTATACTGCTCTTGACATTGCTTTTTTTTTCTCTCTCTCTCCTTCCCTCTCCCTCTCCCTCTCCCCCTCCCTCTCTTTCTTTCTCTTGTTCAACCTCAGTAACTTGGCGGACGGCCATAGGTTTTGTACACAAATTTGTTTCGCACTTTCATACCATTTCTAATTGATAAGTGTACTAAAGTTTTGACATACAAGTTTTTTTCGAGAAAAAAGGTGACTTATAACACGTGTTTCTATGGGATTTTAACACTTTGAATTCTACTTAGAGATTTTAATTTCCTGCTTGACTTGTTTTTTTTGGTATACATAGTATGCCTCAACTGTGAAAATAAAATGTTATTGTTATGTTGGGAGTATTGTCAAAGTCTAAACTAAAATGTTAATCGAACACCCTCTCCCCTATGCTATGAACGCCCCCAGCATTATCTTTCTTCAGTATGAAATTGTGTCCCAATATGTTCCATCTAAATTGTCGATAAAATATTGCGTTATCACTTTTAGGAAAGACGATTAAAAAAAAGAAAACCCAGCCTCGAGCTATCCTGCGCTCAGTATTTAAAGGGTTAATACAATCAACCCATTGCCTACTAGAACCTGGTGTCTCCTGTGTTAAGCCTATGGGAATGAGAGAATCCAGTTATCAACAGGTTAAGAAGACAAATCTTGAGATTTGAATTATACACTCTACCTTACAAACTGCTTTCATGAGTGCCCTCCCGAGTCCGTTACCTGTAACCAAAACAAGCAAATCCAAATTATAGGTTCAATAGTAATCTGGTCAGAGACTCGTAAAACAATCGCAAATGTAATACCTCAAATCAGACCGCCAAACCTACCCAAACCGCCCCATTTCTAGCCAGTCGATGAAATGTAATTTTGCGCTTTCCCATCTTTTCTTTTTCAATATACAATAGGACTGAAATATAATTCCCCCAAAATGTATGGCTTAGGAGTCAGGAAGATCTTTTAGTTTTTATGCTATGCATAAAATAGTTCTAGTAGTGCCCCCAAATTTGTACACGACAAAAAATGAGAGAGTTTTACGTCCTTGAATACGTCACAATCCGCTGACAAAATTGTCAATTTGAAATTTGCATAATTTTGTGATCTCATAATTATTTTGAGCATTCATATCCTCTTATTATCGATACGTTTCACTTCAAATTTCGCCATTCTGTTTCTCTGATTTTATTCTTATATATACAAATGAAAATATTACAAAAGGTGCATTGTCCTTAACCTGGACTTTCAATTTGGATGTCGGTTAACTCAAACTTTTAAATTAGGCCTAGTTATACTGCCAGACAGACACCAAAACTACTCCAAAGCGATCATTTAAAATCGTCATGGTCCTGGCCATTTGTGGGTATGCAGAGGCGGCGCACCTGGGGGGGGGGGGGGCACAGTGCACCCCCTCTTCTTTCAAGTACCACACAATTGTACAATTTTACTTTAGATAAGTGCCCCTTTTTATTCTCCATAGGTGCCCCTATTCCTCTCAATATTTATTTGCTCTATATTTTCTCATCTATTTCTCTTTATTTGTCTGTCACGCCGTCGGTCTTGTGAACCTTTGTTAATGCCTGCCACGTACTGTAAGTATACTGGATGACACCTTTTAACTTTCAAATCTTCTCGTACCCGAATTCTCAAGTTCCAAAACCAATACCATATCCACTGACCCACGATAGTAAGCAAGAATCACGTTTGTGAATTTTTCTCCATGAGGAAAGGACTCTACAGTAAGTCCCAACAAAAACTATACACTTTTGAAATGGCTGCCAAAAAAAATAAAATATATGATTCTGGGGGAAAAGTTTTATATGCACGGAAAGCTCATGAACATAACTTTCATAGGACACCATAAAGTCTGAAAATAATTCATGCTTGGGTGAGCATTGCTAACTTTTGTAAAGGGTATGAAAATTAGGTTGCGCAGGAATTAGCTTTCCAATTTGTGAGAGGGAAATCCTTTGGAGCTTACAAAATTGAGAGTGATATGATACATTTATGATTTGCTGAGTAAATTTCATGGTTTATTAAACCAAAATTTTATGCATGAGTGAACAGGAGTTGCATATTTTATTGTAGCATTGTAACTTTCCCTGGTAGACTCAGTGGTGTGTTCATGGGAGTCAGGATGGGGTGATTGTACATGTTGTAATTTTTTATGTTACAAACTGTTATTTTTTACATCTGTGACTTTGAAGAAAAACCTTCACCCCACACTTCAGTTACCATTTACCTGAAGAATAAGTTGCCGACATCTTGAACATTCCCTTCTTCAAAAAAAGGTTATTGAATATTCAATTTACATAATCCCTGCCTGGGTATTAAGTAAATCAATGAGATGTTCAACTAATCTTACAATAATTGAAATTGTTACGCTTTAGAACTCACACATGCGTTTGAATACATTACAAGAGTTTCCACCCCTTTCTTTCACCTCCCTGATTATACCCTCACAGAATTCAATTTTAAATCCTTCCTAAGACTTAAAAATACTTCAGTCTTAAATATTTAGCTAACTGACTATACGATTACAAAATCTAACCCACCAATCGGATTAGCATGCTCATGCGCACGAAAACAAAATTAAATCTTATTGTACTTAAAAGTGAAATCCATTAGACTTGAATTTTAAGTATTTTAAGGGATTTAAAAAGTTTAGTCTTATGAGTTTTATGGGTTTTTTCCCCGGTTTAAAATTGTCTTAGACTTTAAAGTAAATCCTCCGGATTCAAAAATAAGTCTTAGAAATAGTGAAAGCAGTTAACAACGCATGAGGCACAAAGGTAAAAATCTAGACCTACCTCTGTGGCCTTCGTCGATGTACAGACCACAAAGCATCGAATGTCGACCGTCAAAAATATCAGTGACGAAACTGTTCATTGCAGCAAACCCCATGAGCATTCTTTTTCTGCTGACTCCATTGTCCTCTAGTTCTACCACAAAGAAATGGAGATTGGGCCTTTCACCGAAAGCATCTTCAAGAAGAACTGCATGAAATGAATAAATAAAGAACGATAAATCATGTACATACGGGGTGCTTTAAAAAAGAATGGCACAAGATTTTAATTAACATCTCTTAAAGTACTGACTCAGTACTCCGCTTCACTGAAGCTTTGTAGGTCTTGTTATTGTAGTGTAGTCTAGAAGTAGTATGAATTTCACGTTTAGTCATTGAAATATTTATGATTGTTTTTGTTAAACCTGGAACTCAGGGGTAGCGGAGCGTCTTTCAGAGTGGGGGAAACCAATAAAAAAGGGCACTTCTTTTGGGAAAAAGGGACACCTACAAAAATTACCCTTAAAGCATTTTTTGTATAGATAGGTAAATATACCCCTACATTGTAATTAATACATTGACGGGAGTGATCGTCAAGATTTTCATGTTAACGTGGTCCAAAGTACTGCTTAGCACATACTTTGCAGGTGTGTGTGATGGAAATGAATAAGTTGAAACCTTTTGTACCTCCTCATGTCATGCTTCTACTCTATTCTACCTTGATCTTGCCTCATCTTAATTATTGTATACTCGCATGGGGGAATAGCTCTCTATAACCCTCATGGACAAAGTTAATGTTGTACAAAAACCGGCTGTTAGAATAATAAATAATGTTGGTTTTCTTGCCCATACAAATATGCTTTTCTAATATTCTTAAAATATCTGACTTGCACTTATATAATATTGGAATATTCATGTATGAACTATCGAAAGATAATTGACCAGATGCTTTCGTCCCCTTTTTTCACCGCAATAATACTATACATTCTTACCCTACTAGACAGTCAAACCATTTTCATCTCCCTCGAACTCGCACCGTTTTTGCTAACAAAACAATTATTTTTACTGGACCCAAATTCTGTTACAGCCTGAATAACGAACGAGTTAAAGGGCCCATGACATCGAACTACAAGTGTATTCCTGTTGGTGTGCAGTCCTGCATATATCTCATATTTTGATTTGTACACTTCTGAATTTGTTTCATAGATTTGTGAATATCTTTTAAAATATTTTTTTCTTCAAACTTGCTAAGCTCCACCCCAAAAACCTCAAGATCTCATTCCCCTTGTAACATCATCTGTCAGTCATCAAGAAGCTAACTTGAGAAAGTGGTATGTATCTTTGCCGAAGTCGAGCACCTGTTACAAAACGTAATACAATAGCAACATACAAGTTGCTATGTCAGACATGCTGTAGCATCACCAGGAAGAAAAAGGCAATGATGATGTATTGTACATATGTATGGAAGTATGCAATTCTATTATGAACGTGTGCTAAGCTGGAGGAAATGTACCATTGTCTATTCTAGAATATTAGTTTAGTCTGACATGTCTGACATAGCAACTTATATGTTGCTATTGTTTGTGGTATTGTAACAGGTGGTCAACTTTGGCAAAGTTACATGCCACTTTCTCAAGTTAGCCCATTGATGACTGACAGATGATGTCACAAGGGGAATGAGATCTGGAGGTTTTTGGGGTGGAGCTTAGCAAGTTTGAAAAACAAATATTTAAACAAATATTCAAAGATCTATGAAACAAATTCAAAAGTTTACATATCAAAATACGAGATGTATGCAGGACTGCACACCAACAGGAATACACTTGTATTTTGATATCATGGGCCCTTTAAAAGCCCCTCCATTAATTCACTTAAACGAAAGCTCAGGTGCTTCCTTTTAAGTAGGTATGTATAAAAGTAGTGTTGATGTCGCGCTGGATCGTACAGGTGGTCGTACAGGTGGTTATACAGACTTTGATTTTGTTATTTTACAATGCCATTGATTTCATCAATTTGCTTTCTCTTATTCTTCTTCTGCCTCTTCTTCTTCCAATGCTTCCAATTCTTTTTCGTCTTCCTCTTCTTCCTCTTTCTTCCCTTCTTCACCTTCTCCTACTTATCACTATTATATTATTCTCTTTACTCTTTATTTCAATTTTTCGTTTCTTCTCTAATTCACTCTCCTTGTACGTCTCTAGAATCTCATACTATACTACTCCGTTTTCGCCTCCTCTAATACTTTTGAAATCCAGACCTACTATATTGTGTTACTCAGTACGGGAGCCTATTCACATACAAGCTATGCTTTTTATTTAGGCTCCCCACATTTTACATTGTTCTACCCAGCCTGTTATATATACATATCTCGAAATTTCGTACTTATTTTCCGTACATTATATTTGATTTGAAATCTCTAATTTTTGTTTTCTTCTTGTGTGAAATCTATTCTTATAATAATATACGCCTGTATAAAAAAGATAAAAATATAAACTGCTTTTCTATGTAAAATGTGGAATAAATAAAACTTTAAAAAACAACCTTCTAATAAGGTCTGTTTACTTACTTTCGTTCGTAATTGTGGGCTTCTGCAGTGTTCCTTCATGGTCAGCGAGTTCCCAGATGAGTCGTAATAATTCATCGCAGTCTTCTCGTCGTCCTCCTCGAACCACATAGGAAGCTTGAATCGTTTCTGGTTTTGCCGCCATCATGTCAACTCAGGCTGGTCTGCAGGCACAGACACTAGACAACAGCTTTGACAAACTTCTTAAAAATCAATACGCTACTATTTTACACAACAGCTGGCAAGTATGCACGCTTTGGTCCACTCATTGCAGTTGTCTTTTGATTATCCCAAAGAGATATACCAGTATACCAGTACCAGTACCAGTAATACCAGTAATACCAGTATACAAATCAGGGGCGTAGACAACGGGGGGGGGGGGGGGAGATGAGGGGGATGGCATGTACAATCATCCCCCCAGGTTTTGGGGAATGATATTTGCTTACTTAATAAGTCATAATGATGATAATAATAGTAATAATAATAATGATAACAATTATAATATTAATAATAATAATAATTATGATGATGATAATAATAATCCTCATCATTATTGTAATTGTGTTTATTGTTATTAGCCGCATTCACACGGTGAAAGCCAATTCAGACGGTAAAAAAAAGAAAATCTTACAAGTATTTTGTGGTTATCTTGTGGTTTGGAAACCACAAGATAACCACAAGATTAAACAGGCGCGGATCTACGGGGGAGGGGGGTAGGGGGTTTAACCCCCCCCCCCTTGGGCGGCCCAAAAAAACAAAAAAAAAAAGGAAAAAAAAGAGAAGAAAACAAAAGAAAAAAAGAAAGAAAAAAGAACGCACGCTGGAGAGAAACCCTTTCAAGTGCAAATATTGTGAGAAGATATTCAACTCATCTGGTAACTTAACCAAACACATGATAACTCTGGATATAACTGTGTATTTAACTGTTACTTGATTTAAAAAGACGTTATCATGCACTGCTTTTTATGGTCTCCATTGTGTTAATAGATGCCAGGAAAACATCACTTACGGGGTTCAAATAAACACCCCCAAAAAAAATCGGCTCGCCGCTTCGCGGCTCGTGGACGATGCTCCGCATCGTCATTATTTTGGTCAACCCCCCCCTTAGCAAAAAGCTAGATCCGCCCCTGAGTCATCCCCCCCCCAGGTGTACGAACCTGTCTACGCCACTGATACAAATGATGCACAGCTTTGAGTGCGTCGGTAGGGATTGTGTGCACAAGGTATTTTACAGATTTACCGGGTGCATGGCAAATCATGCTTTCCGGTAATCACCGGACGCATAGTTTTGCCATAGCCATGCTTTCCGGTAATTAAAGATAAAGTTGAGTTCTGGTCATGCGATTGCATTGTGAAAGAAACGGTGTGGAATCGATCAGAAAACGTTGACCATCTAGCATATAAGTATATGTGTGTATTGCAAGGTTCTGGAATCATCAAAATGATAAGAAATTTGGCCAAGTCTTGGTAAAGTTACAAACACAGTACACAGTAAGATGTATATGGGACTACACGAACACATGGGGTAAAAATCCTACCTGGATTTTTACGATGTTACATGACATATTTAGAACATGAAGGCATTTGAAGAGCCATGCTTTTCAGGGAACATGTCATATCTGATGATCTTCCACACTTGCATAATAAGAATGATAACGCTCACAAAGTATTTTTCACCTCTTCCCAGAACTAAACCTTCTCTTTAAAGGAAAGCATGATTTCATGAAACTTATCAAGTAATAAAAAATAAAAAAAAACAACTTGTAAACTAAAAAAAAATTAACTCGAAGAAAAAAAAAATATATATATATATATATATTTTTTTTTAAAGAATTATCAAAAAACAAGAAAAACTAAGAATTATAACTATTTGAAGAAGAAGAAAAAAAAAATACATATACCGGTATATATTTTTAAAAAATAATTAAAAAAAAAATATATATATACAAAAAAAAGAGATATCGGTGGTATCGATCGCCGATATCGCGTGCATCCATAAGTAGTAAACTAGTGTACCTTAAGTAGTGTACCTTAAGTAGTAAACTGCGAGAATTTCAGTTCAAATTATTGCATAATATTTTATATACAAATCATCATTTACATAGATTCAGGTTCCATGAAAATGGTTTGTGCTCATTTTGCAAAAATTTTGAAGAAACTTATCAACATATATTCTTTGAATGTAATACAATAAAGGAAGTCTGGGGGAAATGTGGAGATAGACTTAATTTACCAATTTTGAAGAAATTATCCTGGAAAGAAATTCATATAGGAATAGATGACACTACATTTAAAACAGAGCAATTATTGAACCACATTTTAATTTTGATTAAATATATGATTTTCCACAGTAGAGAGAAGGGAAACCCTCCAAAAGCAAAAGAAATAGAATATAGATTGTTGGAAAATAGAAATGAAGAGAAGGAACTTTCAATGGAAAGAGACACACTTTCAATTCATTTAAGGAAATGGGAAGCTTTGGAAAGTTTAGAATAAATGTTTTCAGTTTTTTTTTTTTTTTTTTTTTTTTTTTTTTTTTTTTTGTTGCTCGTTCTATGTTAGCGTGTGTTTTGTATACTGTTGTACATGTTATGTGTTTAAATGTTGTGTGGGGTGGGGGGGTAGTAGGTGTTTTGTAGCTTTTTCCCTTTTTTATATATATAATTTTTTTTTTTTTTTTTTTTTTTTTTTTTTTTTTTTTTGTCTCCAAAGGAAAATGAAGAGGTGTAACTTTTGTATGTAAATGTAAAAGATCATTGGTAAATTTATAAAGACCTATGTTAAATTATTTTGTTATTTTGTATCCAATGTATTATGTTATAAATGTACAATTTTCTTTGAGAGAAACGAATAAAAACCTATGAAAACAAAAAATCCATGAAAACCTATGAAAAAAAATGAAAAAAAAATCCAGTTAAAATAACTTCACGGTAATTGACCGATCAGATTGCAGGGATTCTTTTACCCATCTTATAACACCTTTTGTTACTCTCTGTCTGCTTCCTGGCCCACTTCCTGAGCTGATTTCGTAGTTGCTGTACGATCCATGGCGATACGAGCGACTGTAGGACGGAGGGGAACACATTATTACACGCGCGCGCTTCTATTACATGCTACTAACAGTCTGCCCAAGACTTTAAAGATATGTCCCTTTTGCAGCCAATATCAAATTATGTAGAACTTTGCAGGAATTATAAATATGTCATGTAGTAAGTCCTATCTGTGAAATTTAAACGTTAGCAGTGTCCTAATATTCAAATTATGCAAGGAAACCCGTTTACTTGCTAGACTTCACTGTCAGACACTATTGTGACTGACTGGCTTTTTTTCCCCTTCTTTTGTAATAACATACATAAAATGAGCTGTTGTCATTTGGCTGTTGTACATGAACATTTTTGTCTACATAAATGACCCACTTCTTGTAATGGCCAAAATTAAACTGATTAAATCTTTGCGCAGCATAAAACGTACGACCACTCGGTACAATGGTCTGAAAATCAGACTATTACTTACTGGCTCTATAGCTCTTAAGTCGATTCGACAACTAATAGTCGTTATTTTTCCCACTTAAAGACATTTTCAAGCCCCCCCCCCCCTTTTTTTTTTAGGGAAGTTCTAAACTACTATTATCTTTCAAATAAATGCCCGGCGTTGGAATTTAACATTTTCCTTTTTTCTGGCCTGCAAATGGGACATAGTACCTTTAAGCAAGAGCTGGAGCCCCAACTAGCAACAAGTTATTTCCAGCAGCTGCCGTTTTCTAAGGTTGCACAATAGAATTTACAGGTGTGATGTTATACCTTTGATGTCCGAGATTCGAAGCAGCCAATATAATTGGAAAGCTTAAAGGTGAAATTCAAAGAAGAACACAAATATGTCAACTAATGTATAACTAGCAACTGGTAAGCTAACAGATGGCCATCGTACAAGTTTAAGGTCAACTACATATAAAAAATAACGATGTTTTAATGACGTCACTATATGGACCAACACTGCGCAAGCAGACGACATCCCATAGAGAATGAACATGATTGCAAAGCTATTATTTCTCAAATTATAATGAGTTTAGTGTATATAAATGTAATGGCATGTCAAACCATTCAAAAGGGGATATGACCCGATTCTGATAACTAAAATCTTTTGCTTGTAAATACACAGGATAGGGGTTAATTAACAATCAAAGAAACCAGACTTTCAAATTGAAAAACCCCCTGAATGATATTAACCTGTTGACTACTGAATTATCTTATTCCCATAGGCTTAACACAGGGACCACCAGGTTCCAGTAAGCAAAGGGTTAAGGACGGCATTTGTTCCCTCTTGAAACGCCGAACATACCCCGGTGTGTGCAGCTGTATATACAATGGCGTCTTATTTTGTTTACAAGCGACAGATTCCTTTATTTTTGTATCGCTGCATTTGTCATCAAAATAAAACCATGCGCGGGGTTTAGTGTCACGTTGGAAAATGCAATCGGCGGTTTTATCAAAACATCCTTTTTTCTTTCATTAAACTAGGAACTAAATAAATCGAATTATAGCGTGTACTTGTAACAGAGAGGGAGGAAGAGAAAGAGAGAGGGAGAGAGCAAGAGAGTGAGAGAGAGAGAGAGAGGTAGAGAGGGAGAGCGAGCGAGAGTGAATGTGCCATCGGTGGATGTAATTAGCATAGAAATTATACAGTGTCCCGCGAATCATTGAATGTGTTGTCACGGGTTACTTGTCTGAAAAGGTTGAGACTACCATTGAAAGGAAAGTGGAATGACATTACACCTGTTATAGACAGGAAGTTTTTTTTTGTAGATGACTGTATATAATGTATAACAGTGGCTAGGGCCACACCCAAAGAAGTTGGCTTGGTGTACGGAGGTCTTGGTGTATGTAATGGCCACATTGTTTTAAAATCGTTTCAAAATTACAGTAAGTTCATTGGCTGCATATATCTCTTTCAAAAAGTGTTTGAACTAACCATAACATTACCATTTTCATTCAAATTGTATTTTATATGTCTTGATTTGTAACTGTCCCTTATTACCTGCACATGTAGTTAATGTTAGACCTTTGGTGCTGATTTCATTTATCATTGTTATCTTATTAATCAGTTACATCATGCCCACAACTTTGTTACCAGATAAAGAGAAGAAGTTCCTGAAGAGAATACAAAACTTTCTGTAAATGTAACATTTTTCATGTTTATGTAAATTATGAAAATGTGCTTAAGGGTCTCCAATTCCCTGCACCTACCCTAATAATAATAATGATTGAATATAAATGGAAATAAACTTATTATGCTTCAGTGCGGTAAAATTAATTTGATTGGTAATAATTAATATGATGCAGACTATTTTTTCAATTCAATTCAATTAAATTTCGGTTTTTATTAAAAAATATACCGAATGAAGTCCAAAGAGTAACAATACTTGGTTTACATTGTATCATATAAAAATGCGCCAAAGTTGCTTATCTGATATTTGAATTAAACAACTGGGATTTGGGTATTAATCCGGTCTTTGCAGATCCAAATACTATCCCTAACAAAATTAATCATGCCACACCAAATATCAACGAACAATTGTGCGTGTGTGTGTGTGTGTGTGCGACTTTGCTTCTGCAAAAAGCATATGCAATGCATTTCATTTGATACATTCAACTCATTCTCTCACTCCGCTAATCCTTACATAATACATACTGTAGGCATCACTTTGGCGCAAGTCGATTTTTGCACTCTCGCAAACAATGCCTACTGTTCATCCAAGCGTGAACACATACCACACAAAAATGATACCAAAATGAATTGGGATAAAACACTCTTTCATAAGATGTATAATAATTTACAGATCATTGATTATTTTAAAAGTAATTTGCAATTTTCTAGGTGTAAACTTTTTTTTTTGACTCACACTGTAGTTAGGCTATCGCATTACCTTTAAACCTTAATTGGGGAAAGTTTGTCTTGTGTCTTAAAATTTGAAGAAGAAAAAAAAATATCATAAAATCTTTAGGTAAACTGTATGTAAATTGAGGTTCAATCAAACATCAAAAGTATTTTATAATTTTCGAATAATCTAATGCGCTTGAAACCAAAAGCAAATCCCCAACAGAATTCCAGGCCAGTCGGAATATATATTTTTGTGTTAAGAAATCATGTTCTGATTATGTAATGTGGTGTTGTCATGATTGACTATTTCAGACGAATAAATATTACAGCAAACAAAAGACTTACACAAATATCCACGAAATTTGTTAATGTATACATTTATTTACTCATCAATAACAAAGAGTTACACGAGCTTTGAAGAATAAAAAAAGATGAAATACGAAGAATATATTTATATTACAAAATGTACATTAGTATGAATATGATATACTTTCGATTTGAACAATAATGGTTTGCATATTAATCCACAAGAACTTCGTTTATTCAGCCTAATTCAGGCTCAAGAAAAGTTCTAATAAAAGTATTTCAGCTTTTTCCCCAAAAAAATATGTAGTTACTACCCCATGGCGATCATTCATATTTTGGGAAATCCCAAGCAGAATTCAGTAAGCCTGACTAATTTTTCTCTTCGAACAAATAAGACCTTGAACGATTACTTTCATGACACATTATGCATCTTTATATATATAAGGAAATACAATTAAAGGGATAAAAGGCTAAAAATGTAAGTGGAATAATATATAAATATCAATAAACTCTGCAAGACTAACGTCATATTTTCCTATTGATAAATCAATACCAACAAAACTATACAATCGTAAAGAAATTATTCGTATTTTCTACAAAACCTCTGTTTATTGAAAGAAATCTATCCCTACAAACCATTTTGTAATCGCCAAGGCATGCATGTTTGATATTGTTATATCAAAGGAAACGAAAAGAGATAAAGGCATAAAGAAATCGTTTCATCAAACTGCGAAACTTAGCTGATGAAAGCTTTGACGTCACACGACTGCTCATATTCCTACAATACATTGTGACAGTGTACAGGCGCGTACGCAGGATTTTTTCAAGGGGGAGGGGGGAGGGGGTTGACATTTTTAAATCGGGCCGAAAATTTCGCAACGACTCAGCCAGCCGCTGAATAAGCAGGGGGGGGGGGGGGGGGGGGAAGAGGACACTTTTTTTTCTTTTTTTTTTGGTCTCGAAATTTGAAAATTTGACATTTTTCTCCGTTGGGGTCACCTTTTTTAGGTCAGCCATGGGAACAATTTTTTTATTTTTTATTTTTTAAATATTAAAAAAAAAAAAAAAAAAAAAGGGGGGGGGGGGGGTTTTAGGGGGTTTACACACATACAAATACCTGCGTACGCGCCTGACAGTGTATCATATCATCTTATATACACTTATCACATTATCTACATGTTATGACATAAACGAATAGGGGAAATAAAAAAAAAATCATGATACAAAGATTTAGAGTTGTATGTTTTCATGTATGTTTTTTCTTCTTCCAAATAATTTGTTTTGTTATTAAGAACCCGTGCTCTTTTACCCCAGTTTGTCTTCACTGTAACCTTAAACAAAGGTGGGAATATATTGTACTTTAATTCCATCACAATTATTGAAGTATATTTACAAATAGTCTTACATATATATTATAATATTTAAAGGCTTAGGTTTACGGTAACACCACGTATATTTTCGATTATGAAACCTCTTTTTTATGCGGATATATATTCAAATATAAGCAAATAAAAATACTATCAGGCTGTAGGTTTACAGGCAACAGGTTTGAATGGGTTTCTCTTACTCTGTGATGTGAACGCAAAAACAACTTTGAGTGAATAAGCCAACGTGTTATACTGTGTTCCTGCTGTAACATTATCCAAGCCTCGTTGAATATGCTATCCTCTGGCCCTCATATACGCACTATCATCTAGGACTATGTAAGAGACTAGCTTAGCTATGAAAACATGTATTTTGACACCGACCTAGACTCGACCGTCACCTCTAATACAGCAGAAACACATTATAACACTTTGGAATGTAATGTCTTTACGAAGATTTTATAAAAAGACTTCTTCATACAAAGTTGCTTTTGCGTGCATCACATTACGCAATATGATATGTACACAAATAATATAAGAGATAAACGGTTGGATTGCCCTACTCAGCATCCGCCAACGCTATAGTGGCGCTGTTCCACCGAGGGGTCTATACAAAAACGCATTGTTTAGGCGTACCTCGTATTTTTACCCATAGAGGGCACAGAGCGAAACACTTTATAATTACCAAGCTATAATGAGTAACCCTATTTATTGTTTTAATCGCTAATTTGTCTTGTGTTTAAGAATGAGTACAGTCAAATCTGTTGAGTCTATAACACACAACGCCTACGTCTTTCTTTACTGAATGGAAAAAATATATGAAGACAATTTATAGTTTTCAAAACATTTATGACGCGAACAGAGACAATCAATTTGCTAATGTATTATCAGTGGCATAACCAGCATTGGGTAAAACGTCATATGCCCCCTCCCCCCAACCCCGCCCCCACCAACATTTAAATAAAACTTCGAATAATACCAGAGGATGCCTCATTTTGAAAAGTTTTACAAGTTAGTAGGTGCAATATCGAAAACTATAGGCGTATCCAGAAATGTAAGGGTTGGGGATAAACTGGGTAGCACCATGCGACATGAGACGCACTACATGGTGTACTGACTGAGTCGGCCTTCAAACAGGGAGAGGGGAGGAAGTACGCGGGTCTCTGGGTACTACACCAATAAACATAACTTTTTGTTTTGTTTTTGTTTAAGAACGGTGCCGCAATTAAATATACAGATTTACGTGCAGGAATAATCGTCGTCATCACCGTCAATAACGGCATCATCTTACATATTCCACATCATCATCATCATCATCATCGCCATCGTCGTCCTTGTCATCAAGATTTATCTAGGGGACGTCTCTGTTTTCAGAGTTTGCACCGGCGGCCCCCTTGGTCGTGGCGTAACGGCGGGCCAGGCAGCCATAACAGCAGCAGCAGAAAAAGCAGACGATCCCGATGATGTAGCAGACATTGTTCCACCAGAAGGCGAAGTAGTAGAGCGTCGGGTGGCAGTAGTCAGTAGCAGAATTGTCCGTGGTGTTGGGCCTGAAGATCCCACAGATCCATACATTTCCTGAATGAAAGCAGTGTTGAAAATAGGAAAATAAAACCCACGGTATTAATTTGTCTGTTTGTATGAAGTTAATTTTAAACGACAATAAGGAATCATGCAAGAACGTCTTCCACGCAAAAGTTCTCAAAAGAAGAATTAAGGGAGCAGAGGGGAAACTATAAGGAGAGGAGCGACCTTTTGCATAATGGTTTAGTCACTAAAACTTTCCGTGAGCCAAACCATGTTGACTATACACAGATGATGACATCGATACTGATGTTGGGACTTTGCAGACGGATTTAGCATGGGATACCGATTTGTACGTGTTGGTAAGGTCGGAAATTATAAGACCTTTTACTCATGACACATTAAACAGAATATATAACAAATACATCTCTTTCTTTGGAATTTAATAGTCGGGCGGAAAACGATTAAATAGTCACCGGCGATGAAAAATCCGAAGATGAATACTCCGATGAGAAGGCTGATTATTCTCTCCACTTTGTTGGGTTTGAAGTCGGCCTGTTCTTCTGATGGTAGTCTAGAGCGCTGAGCCCTCCCCTTCAGATTGATCAAGGTCTTTACTATGGAAGCCGCCCCCATGATGATCAAATAGATAGGGATAAGGTTTTGTGCAGGGCAGTTGTCAAAATAAACGGCTCCTGTGGTTAGTAAAATAAATGATATTGTATTGTTAGCAACGACGACTTTGAATTCTTCTGGTGTAAGTCCTTTAGAATATCACACTTTCATCTGCTGCACATAGGCCCACTTTGTCGGTCTCGTGGACCTGAACACAAATTGTTATGGCTGGCGAGACTGGCGGCCCCCGATACTAATATATCATTCTCGGGAAAACTACTGACTACATCTCTAAGGGTTCAGGAGACCGACCGTGTCGGTCTCTTAGGTCATCTGCCTCATGGCTCCCGGCCGCTATTTTTTTTCCCAAACAGGTTTGCCAATGCTAATATTGCCGGTCATCTGATTGGCTGATATGTTACGTCATTAGCAATGACGTAACCGTAAGGGTGAGTGATAGGGTTATAGAAATCATGCAGACCGGCCTCGTATGCGTCGGTCTATCGGGATGATTTCATAATCTGCAGTTTGTTTATATTTTTTTTGGTCAAGTTATACATTTATTTACATCATTGTCGAAAAATAAATGTTTGTGCACTACGTGCGTTCGGAAGTATAAGCTTTTTCTTCCATCCTGAACAAATACAACGTATTAAAAGTTTAGTGTGAGACTATTCGCCCTTTGCCTATATTCCATTTTTATCACTGGGAGGATAACTTTATCAAGACATATCATGAAACCCATGATTAAATATCCATACTTCAAACAATACAACTTTTAAAAAGTGGGACATTTTTCTGACTCACTCTGTATAGAGTACCGGTAAGTGCGACGGCTTACTGGCATGGTTGACAAGGTTGCTGGCTCACAATTATTGTGTGCTAAAAATGGTGCGCTGGTCACACCTATAGTTTACACGCACAGACCCTAATTTGACACTTTATCAAAAACTCATTGTGCCTTGAGAGAAGTCTAGCCCAGCTACCTACTGGTGAGCAGCTACAGTACATGGCCTATGGTAGTCTTATAGTGCAGACTCACTTTTACGACTGACCAGGGTTTGTGCTTGCAGACTAGGTCACACAAGCCCAAAACACTGAATTTGCCCTGCTCCAGCCCGTTGCTTTCGCGGTGAACGTCATGTACAGGCTCATTGTTAGGAACCAGTAACCTTAACGCCGATTGAATATCATGACGTTAGCGCTTTGGTACTCTATTTGTATATCATGAAAGCATTTTGGTATGCAGATCGACAACTTCGTCACGTCAAAGTTTCCGAATACAATTGGTGGATCGAGGGTGGAGAGGCAAGTTGGAATATGATTATCTAAGGATAAATATCTTCAATATAAATTCATATTGAATATAAATATTCCATTCTTATCATGTAAAATGCTGCTATTGCACATGTGAAATAGAAATCGGTATGATTATCGATTGGATGGGGACTATACTTTTTTATGTAGTCTACTCTTTCAATATTCTCTATAATCTTTTCTATCATTTCTTCATCGAGAGAGAGTAAAATGTCAATCTACATATTTCTGCATTCAATGGTCATGACAATACATTACTACATAGGCCTATACTGATTTTGTAGACCTTATAACTTATATATTTTTCCCAGAAATATTTCACTTACCTATTGCGATCATTGCAATGAGAATGACGAGGGATACTGCCATAAGTAATGACACGATAGCTGTAAACAAAGAAAAAGCACGGAATTTATTTAAGAAAGAATCCATAAATTCTATATCAAATTATAATGGCTTTTTTGTTGTTGATACATTGGTATCGCTCGAATTACAATTTAACAGGGATTTATCTTTCAATGAATGGTTATACTCATACATGACGATTTGCTGTACTCCTCATACGGCACCATTCCATCTATTAATCGATTTTCTGTAATTCTGAACATTCAGTGAAAGTAGGCAAAGCGGATTCTGTTCTATATACATGTAAAACCTCTGTGACTATTATTTTGTCAGTATCTTTTTGAGGTCTTATTTTTTAAAATATTTCGTATTCTAGCAGTAATATGATTGCTTGAAAATCACACCCCTCCCCACATTTAGATTGTTGTTGTGGGTAGTGTCTTGGGCAATTTGCAGACACAAATCTTTGTCATTCGTTGTGCGTAACAGTGTCTGCAATATGAGACTATGATATGCTCTGTACTGTAGCCCATCCTGAACAAAGCCAGTGACTGACATAATCATCGAGGCTCCGCTCAAGTATTTTAGGAATTATGGTCACAGTGTCAAATTAGAGTCTGTGCTTGCATACTTACTGGGGCAAATTTGATTTGATTTGATTTTGATTTGATTTTCTTCTGCATTCATGTAAGCATACGGTTTTTCTGACAATGAATCATAAATAAGCAAATATATATATATAAATTGTTATTTTCAAAAACGAAATGATACACTGTCATAAATACTAAATTTCCTCAAACATGATAAAACATTATAAAATTATTTGCGGAAGAAGGACTGCCATTGTAAGCAGATTGCTTGATAATACGACAGCCCCAGACAAAACTCATGAAATATATTAACACATTTATTAAGCAGAAACGGATAGGTAATTTAAAATTCAAATTTCGATGATGGTGATGCAGATGAGGATGATGATGATGATGAAAATGATAATGATGATGATGATGATGATGATAATGATGATGATGATGACGATGGTGATAATGATTCGAATGAATGAAAGAAGAGATGACATGATAAAGAATGAAGAGTTGATACAGAAATTCTACCTTGAGTATTTTGATAATAACATCGTTTTAACTTTGGCCTTAAATGAGTAGAAGGAGCAACATGATTTATTAGATTCTGGGAGAGAGTTCCATAGGTCAGGACCGTGGTGTCTTATGGATTCATGGGCAATAAGTAATTTCGGGTTTACTAGATGAAAACTTGAGGCATTACGGGTAGGGTAAGAGTGAATAGCTTTATTCATAGTGAAAAAGTTTTGAAATGAAAGAGGAAGCATATTATTTAAATACTTAAACATGATCAGTAAACTTTGTAGCGAATTTATGTCGAATACTGTTAGGGTTTTCAGTTTGTAAAATATTGGACTTGTGAGAGAGAAATATGGTGAACCAGTACATATACGAAGGGCTTTCTTTTGCAATAAATAAATAGAGTTGATTTTGGTTTTGGCGATGGTGGCCCGTACTAAATTGCAATATGTTATATACGGTAATATCAATGAAGCATAACAAGTGTATAACATGGGATTAATTTCTTCATTTTATATAATAAACCAACATTCCTAGAAATAGAAGTAGTGATATGACGTATATGTTCATTCCAGTTTAGATTTTCATCGATAGTGACACCCAAAAATGTAGTTGTTCTCTTTCTTTCGAGAGGGACATTATCTATAATTATGTTGTAAGGAAAGTCAATGACATGAGAATTTGCGTGCTTGAAATACATAAAATTTGTTTTATTTATATTAAGGGATAACTTGTTGCATTGAAACCATGAAACCATAGAGATAATTTTGGTAACTCATTATTAAGTGTATTTGCTAAAGTGTTTAAATTAGGATGTGAACAGCAGATGTTCGTGTCATCGGCAAATAGGACAAATGATAATAAAGGTGTTGTATTAGTTAAATCATTAATATATAATAGAAAAAGCAAAGGGCCTAAAATTGATCCTTGAGGAACTCCACATTTGGTAAGTAGGAAATTAGACAAAATATCATTATACATTACATATTGTTTTCTGGTAGATAAATAGCTCTCAAACCATGACAATGCAACTCCACGAATTCCATAACAGTAAAGTTTTTTCAGTAAAATTTGGTGGTCCAGTGTATCAAACGCTTTTGATAAATCCATAAAAACTCCTATTACATGTTCTTTATTGGCCATAGCATTCGTTATTTTATCATATAATTGTACTAAAGCTTGGTCAGTTGAATGACCTTTTCTAAAACCATATTGATTTAGATTTAGGAAATGAAAAGTATCTAAAAACTTGTAAAGCCAATTTTAAATATTTTTTTCTAAGATTTTGGATATGCTGGGAAGAATAGAAATAGGCCTGTAATTGCTAATTTCGTGAGGATTGTCTTTTTTGAAAACAGGATTTACCCTAGCAATTTTCAAGGACTCTTGACATTTCCCGGTATTTATTGATAGATTAAAAATGTGAGTTAAAGGACAAGCGATAAAGTGTATGACGTGTTTAAGAAGGAAAGCACTAATTCTATCTTGACCCTGTTATTTACTTAATTTTAGATTTGTCGTCATTTTAGTTATTTCATTAGGATCAGTGGGATTAAAAAACAGTGTAGAATTTGAAGGTTCAGGAAGAAATGTAGGACTGCCGAGACAGTCAAGTCTCGAAGAGTCTTTAGACATGTCCTAGACTATTTTAATTGGAGGGGGTTGTCTACCAAATTGCACCCCCCCCCCCCAGGGTCCCGTTGTTTAAATAGATTTCTGGAGAGGCCACTGGTCTGGACCTAGTCTAGTGCAGCCACTAAGGATCGCGCTATCACTCGGCTTAACGCTTATAGTCGGCGAATAACAAAAATCAATATAGGGTCCAGAACTAGACTAGTCTGGACCGTTTGCCAGTCGGTTGACTTACATGTGCCGAACAGGATTCTGATGACAGATCCGATGAAACTGACTAGACTGCCATCCTTCTCTTTCTCACTCTTGATCTGGTCAAAGATGGATTGATTAGATGAAGGAGATGCATCTGATGATTAAGAACAAAAATAAAAGAACGTAATTCCCATTCATCATTTAAATACATTTTTGATTACTAAGTTAATCATTTATCATTTCGTTGATAATTACAATTCTGAGGAATAGAGTCTAAAGTTGCTGCCGATACACAAATAGAGGCAATTAGACAGACAGGCCTACACAATGCCAGCCTGGGTTTCGCCGGGGAGTATGAAACAGTGTGAGTCCAAAAAAAGTTTACACCTAGAAAATTGATAATTATTTTAGAAATAATCTATGAACAGTAAATTATTATACATCTTATAGTATCATTTCTGTGTGGTATGTGTTCACGCTTGGATGTACAGGAGGCATAATTGGAACTAACTTTGTTGCGTTGCATCATTCGATGCAGGAGCTGTCGATGACATACCGAGAGCTGTGTTCCCTTCCGCCTGGTAATTAGAAATGATAGGATTATCAAAACCAATTTACAAACATTGGTTTCAGAAGGAAAAAAAAGAGAACAGCACCATCAAAAAAAGGGGGAAAAATATGCTAACCAGGAATTGGTTTCTTCTCTGCCAATTACTCAAAAAAAGGGATGGCTAAAATTGATAGGTATTGAATAGGCTTGTAATTAAATGGATTGTTTCAAACATGAACTCTTAATGGGGGAAGAAAAAAAAGAATCCGAAAGGGAAGGGACTGAAGAACAACTGGTTTTATCAACTTATTGATTAGGTCATTTATTTTATAGATAAATTTTCATAAAACTTTTCATACCGATTAGCTTTTATGCCACTATTAAGATGTATTATCGTGATGTAATTTTGTTATTGTGATATTTTCAGTATCCACTGCATCTTACTCATTTTTTTCAGAAGAAAAACGTACTAAAATGAAGAAAATGAGCCTGTATAAGACCGATGCTGCTTCGCTCATCACATATACAGGCTTCCCAAACAATCAGTATAGACAGGCTACTACTTACTAGGCGATTGTACGACCATGGATCAATGCAATCAATCGCTCTTCTGGTAGCATGCATAGGCATTGTTATACATTGATTGATTGATTGATTGAAAAGGTTTTTTTTAATTATAATTGCACTTCGCAGTCAGAAGGCTTAATTAAGTACAATTTACATTGACAATAATACATACAAATGTGGTTTGAAATTCTCACAAAGTATAATATACAGTATACAACATAATTCATAACCAATATGACTAAGGCAATAACAGACAAAATTAAGTCAGGTTTAAAATATATTTTGTGAGGTGACACAAGAGTGGGTCAAAGGATGAGCAAGCAGGCCCTACACTGTAAAAAAGAATTTGTTCATTGGTAATTTTTACGTATTTTTTCCATGTAGAATTTACGTGAAAACATTAGTTTTGCCACTTACGCACTAAATTTAAGTCTTGCTAACTCAAACTTTCAATTTAGTAGAACATACGTGGAATATTTAAGTAAAATCAAATACATAAGAACTTTAAGTAATTTCAGCTTGTATTAATTTAGTAATTTTAACTCAAAATCAGAAATTATACGTATTACTCAAACAATTGATGTTGATTATTCTTATCTTTTTAAAGTAAGGACCGATGCAGTGCGTAATAGAAATATTTACATAATTTATGAATATTCATTAAGACCAAATTAAACTCTTTTTTAAATAAAACAATTCTTTTTTGTGGTTGAATGAAAATTTAAGGACTTTAAAACATTTACTAATTCATTTAACATGGCTAAGCAAAGACAAGACAATTTTTAATTGTTACCCAGTTCAAAACAAATCAAAACTTGATATTCCAAGAAATTGTCAACCAATTTTTCTTTTAAGATGCTACGATCAAGTATATATAAAATTTGGAGCCTTTCAATATGTGTCGAATTGAAGCGTATGTAATAGTTTGTGATGGTGGTAGATATATACGGTTAAATCTTAAATAGAAGTAGTGAATGAATAGTGGATGTTATTTGTTAGATTAGATGGGCCCGGTACCAAATCGTGCAATATGTAATCCTATCATAGCTTTTTTTTAATTATCTAAAATGATTACAATACTTAAATTATTTACGTTAATGTAACTCGATTTAACTAAGTAAAAAATTATTCAGCAAAATAAGTAAATTCTACTTAAGATGCCGTAGGTAATATTTACTTAATAAAAATAAGGCAATTCTTTTCCTCAATTTTATTGAGTTATTTCGACTATTATTTTTTTACAGTGTACGCTCCTATTCTCACTCCTGTACCATGGACACTCTCATAAACACCACATTCACACTCTTATACACACTCCCATACACTAGCTAAGGTCTGCTCGCCCATCCCTGGACTTCTCTTGTGTCAAGAAGTGTTGGGTATTTCGAAATGTAAAAAAAAAAAAAAAAAACAAACAAGAAAGCTCCCTCCCGACCTTCATACATTGGAGCAAAATAAGTACACGATTTAAAGCCTTGAACACCATCTGATCTGAATTGCCATGTCATGATTGCTACGAAACCTATCACTATTCAATATACATTTATACGTTTCAAAAAGGTGTTACAAGTGAATGGAAGCATAAAATGTAAAATGTAAGCAGACAATGAGATTCCCTGCAACAAGTCATTATTTCTCAAACCAACAAACTTGATTGAAATCTTGAATATTGCACGTTCTCTTAAAATAAGCTATGCTAACGGTCATGATGGGATAAGCACATATCTTTTGAAACAAGTTATAGGAAATATAATAACCCCACTAGTGCATATTTTTAATCTCTCTCTGACGACAGGTACATTTCCAGAAGCATTTAAGATTGCTAAGGTTGTTCCGATATACAAAAAGGATGACTCTTCCCAAGTCTCAAACTATCGCCCTGTTTCTATTCTCTCGAGTTTGTCCAAAGTATTGGAAAGACTTATATACAATAGGCTATATTGTTTTCTAACAGAAAATGACTTACTGAATCAGGATCAATATGGTTTCAGGAAATACCACTCAACCGATTTAGCCCTTGCACAATTATATGATAAGGTTTCGAATGCTTTGGCGTCTCGAAAGCATGTTATTGGTGTATTCATGGACTTAAGCAAAGCATTTGACACTCTTGATCACAAGGTACTATCAAGCAAACTTCATTATTACGGAGTAAGAGGAGTTGCTCTTGACTGGTTTAATGATTATTTGTCAGGTAGAAAGCAATATGTAAGCTACGAATCTGTAGATTCATCATTATTGCCTATGAAATGTGGTGTCCCACAAGGATCGATACTCGGTCCTTTATTGTTTCTACTGTATGTTAATGATATCTCGAACTCAACTACATCATTACAATATATTATATTTGCTGATGATACTAATGTGTTTTGCTCCAATTCCGATTTTCGATCACTTCAGAGAATTCTGAACACCGAGCTACCTAAGCTGTCTTTGTGGTTTAGGAGCAACAAATTGTCTCTGAATCTGAAAAAAACTAATTATATCCATTTTCAAAGCAGGAAAAATGCAACTGATAAACCTATACCTGAAATAGTCTTGGATGGTGAATATTTGGAGAAAAAACAAAATACTAAATTTCTTGGAACTATCATCAATGAAAATCTGAAATGGAGTGATCATGTACATTACGTTTCAAAGAGAGTGTCACGCACTGTTGGTTTACTGTATAAGTTAAAACATTATGTGCCTTTGAATATTCTATATATGCTATACAATTCCTTGATTCTTCCTTACATGTCTTATTGCAATATACTGTGGGCAGACTCAAAAGTATATACTGATAACATGCTACTTATACAAAAGAAAGCGATTCGTGTGCGTACCAATGCTGGATATCGCGATCACACTGATCCCCTATTCGCGAGGTTAAAAACTCTGAAAGTAACTGATATTAACTTTTTACAAAAAGCACTGTTCATGTTCGGTCTACATAATGATTCCCTACCTTCCCACTTCCCACCAATGTTTTGTTTGAATAGAAATATTCATACATACCCAACCAGACAATCAAATAAATACCATTTATGTAATCCTAAAACAACAATGGCTATGAAATCTATAAGACATTCTGGTCCGGATATTTGGAACTCACTGTCCGTTGACATCCGTAACTTGAAGTCAGTATATACTTTCAAGAAAAGTGTGAAATCAATTTTATTGAGTAAATATTGACAAATCTCTTAAATTAACACATGATATCATATATGTTTGTCAGCATTTCCTTGATATAGCAGGAAAATCCCCCTCCCATGCACCCTCTATCCCATTTTTTTTTTTTTTTTTTTTGGTTGCAAGTCACTGTTTATTTTTTGTTATTTTCCCCCAATTATGTTTTGTAATTTACTTTACTTTACAATCGTTATGATTTTAAATGTTTCTGGGCTGCAAGCGTATCAAGCTGTCACGCTTAGGCTGTAGCCCTTCTGTATCATCACCTCTTCGAGCGTATGTATCTATGATTTACTGAATGTGGAAATGTAATTTAACTTATGTTTTATACTCATGTAAAGACATTGTCACATTATTGTTATAACCTATGATGATTCAGTAACCAATAAATATTTCAACTAATTCAACAGGTAGATAATTAAGACAAATGGGAAAGTGTAAATGGTGATTCATTCATGCATTCAACAGGTCTATTAAATACAGAATTGAGCTATTTCTATAGCGGTTCGTTTTACGATGAAATTGACGGTACTTAGTCCTTCTCCGCAGTGAATAATGTACATTATTGTCAACAGGTAACCAATGTTTACAAAGTGGGTTGTTGGCAAGAGATGAGGCAAAAATTCGTGCACAGTATCTGACAACGTCTGCAAAGAACACACTTCAAGAGCTTTGTCATAATTAATATATTTATCACCTAATATGGTTCTACATGATCTTTTCTGGATTCGTTCCAAACCTAAGATTTGATTTTGGGTGAGGTTTCAGTTAATAAAAAGGGTACTCCATAACCAATTTTGGGCGAATGTTTACCTTGTAAACTGTTACTAGATCACAGAATAGCAATTCGTATGTTTTGAGAATACGAAGCATGAAAGGTCCCAAGGAAAAACGAAACCGAGAACAGAAAACAATCGATGTTTTATCATAACTTAGTCACATTTATAATTAATAAATGACACATATTTGAAAACCTTAGATCCTCCTCTTTCATTTGATGCAACTCATATGATGCATATTTCACACATGAGTGATTAAAATGAATTTTAAGAGAGGAAACCAAAAAGTCATTTGGTGGACGGTATCTAAATTTCAAGGAGAAAATTTTCATTTCTAGAAAGTTGAGTTTCTGCCCTTTTATATGACACCTCAATCAGGAAAAATGAGCAAGGAATGACAAAGTTCTGTTTATTTAAAGTAGTGCTTGCATTTCCATAATTTTATCAAACGAATTCGTTTTCACTGGGTGCCTGCCGTAGCAACAAACAGAGTTGACAAAAGACTTAACTCCATTTCGTTGACAATCAGCCGTATAGACGAAAGACTTCATGCATGGCTGATTGTCAACGAAACGGAGTTAAGTCTGTTGTCAATTCTGCATGTTGTTATGGCAGGCACTCAGTGAAAACGAATTCGTTTTCGTTCAGGTCACCTTTTTTTAGGTCAGCCATTGACATAATTTAAATTTTAAAAAAACAACAACAACAACAGTAACAACACAAAGGGGGAGGGTTTTTTTTCTCCAAAATACACACATTCAAAAATGAAGGGGGGTTTAACCCCCAAACCTCCCCCTACCCCCCTGCGTACGCGCCTGTCTAACCATAATAGGGACTTTTAGATTGAGTGGACGGGAACACGACGAACGCCGACTGTTCATGCGTGTCAACGTACTTAACTGCCCATGTTGACTACAATTAGAAATCTTTTAGATTGCACTCGACGATATACATGCATGCAGGAAGTAACACTATGAACATTACGGCAAAGAAAGAGGACAAAATATACAGTTCCTCATTCTACCCTCAACAAAAGAACATCCCTTCACTGCTATTAATATGTAAAAATGTGTAGAACAGGTGAATATGCATGTGACACCTGTTCTACACATT